ATTGCCCCCCCCCGGGGAAAAAGGGAAAAACAGTGAAACAAAAAAAAAAAAAAAAAAAAAAAATGGGCTTCATTCCTTTTTTTTTTTTTTTTTTTTAATTTTCAAGGCATAGTCTCACTCTGTCACCCACGCTGGAGTGCACTGGCAATCTTGGCTCACCGCAACCTCCGCCTTCCAGGTGCAAGCGGGAGAATTCCTGGCTCAGCCTTCCCAGTAGCTGGGATTACAGGTGCGTGCCATAGCAGAGACGGGTTTCACCATGTTGGCCATGGTGGTCTGTAACTCCCGACCTCAAGTGATTCACTTCCTTCAGCCTTCTAAAGTCCTGGGATTACAGGTGTGAGCCATCGCACTCAGCTGGTTTAATTATTTTCTAAATTACTAAAAAGCTGCCTGACTGCAATCCATCTTTTCAATACTGATTTGAAATACGGTACCACCTTGCCTATATAATAAATCCTATATATATCTGGCTCTTATTCTGGGTTCTTTTTTTTTTTTTTTTTTTTGTGAGACAGAGTGTTTCGCTCTTGTTACCCAGGCTGGAGTGCAATGGCACGATCTCGGCTCACCGCAACCTCCGCCTCCCGGGTTCAGGCAATTCTCCTGCCTCAGCCTCCTGAGTAGCTGGGATTACAGGCACGCGCCACCATGCCCAGCTAATTTTTTGTAGTTTTTTTAGTAGAGACGGGGTTTCACCATGTTGACCAGGATGGTCTCGATCTCTTGACCTCGTGATCCACCCGCCTCGGCCTCCCACAGTGCTGGGATTACAGGCTTGAGCCACCGCGCCCGGCCCCCGCTTTCTTTTCAATAACATTACCAGTCAAATCAATATTTTCCCACATGAATGACCAAGGGGTCGCAGCCACGACAGAAGACAGATTAAGACTTTACGATGCTAAAACGCAATAAAATATATATTAAAAAAAAAAAAAAAAAAAAAAAAGACTTTACGATGCCTCGTCCGATGCTCTTTCATAGTCAACGGAACGACTGAACACCCGCGCCACAAGAGGCGGTAGAGATGGGCGCCCAACCGAAGCGCCAGGACCCCGGCCTACGTCCGCGCCCTCAGTTTACTTCACCCCAGTGGACCCTGGATGTTTCATGACCGGCCCAGCGGCCTCGAAGAGTGTGGCAGGCCCTTACCAGCTCCCAGGCTGCCCCAACGCCACAGCCGGCCCACCACGGTTGGAGCGCTTTACCTAAGGCCCTTACCAGCTCCCAGGCCGCCCCAACGCCCCATCCGGCCCACCACGGTTGGAGCGCTTTACCTGAGGCCCAGGGATCCCCTTCACCTGACGCCACCCAGCAGCCCGCGGCCAGGTATCCAAGGCCGCATAGTAACCGGGGAGGCGCGGCGGCGCGCTGGGAAGGCGTGGCCCAGGACGCGGCGCTACCTCCGGTCGACGTGATGACGACAGCATGGGTGGTGCCTCTCCGTCGCGGGCGTCATGGGTATTGGAGGGAGCCCGGCTGATGTGGGACTGTGCCATTTGGTGCATGAGGGGTAAATCCCAACACAACGAGAATTAACTGTTTTTTTTCCACCCCCCTCCCTCCAGAGAATTAACTTTTCACCAAAAATCAACCCACTGAATTTTGTTATTTAATATCAATTTTGACTAAAGACTAATAACAGTAGGACCCAAGGGCCCAAACTTCGCTCCACCCGCAGGTAGCAGAATAGTGAAGGCTTCCGGGGGCGGTTGGAGGACGCACCCCCACGATTCCCAAGGTGCTGGCGTAAAGCTGAGCCGGGCGGGGGCGGAGCCCGGTGGAGGGCGGGGCCGGACTTTTAGAAACTACTTACGGGAAAAGGGTGGGCAGGTTTAGTGTTGAGACTAATAACACCGGATCATTCTATTTTATTAACCCCGTATCTTCGCTTGCCATGTTACCAGATCTGAGGTCCAGCGCGGATGGCGATGAGCCCGCCGCCCTTTGGGTGGGGAGTTAGAACTTGAACAGATTCTACAAAAATGTGAAAACTATTTACTGTATTAGGGAGTCTGACGACTAAACTGGTCAAAAAGGCGCCCCCCTTGAGCAGATTATCTGAAGAAAGAGTGGCATTCATTAAGGCGAGGGCTGGGGAAGGGCGTTCCGGGCAGAAAGAACTGTTTGTGCAAAGAGCATCACCAACCAATACAAGTTGCCCTGCCATCACCATTAAGGTGGGAACCGGAAGCCAGAACCACCAACAGGCCTCCCGGTTCCCCAGGAAAGCGCTCTGTGCCTGCCTTGAGAGGTGTGTGGATGTGTGAACAATGCTGCAGCAATCTGGAAGACTCACACTGATGAGTGCAGAGAGCTCTGACAGTTTTTGTTTTGTTTTGTTTTTTGAGGTAGAGTCTCAGTCACCCAGGCTGGAGTGCAGTGGCGTGGTCTCGGCCCACTGCAACCTCCGCCTCCTGGGTTCAAGCGATTCTCTCACCTCAGCCTCCTGAGTAGCTGGGACTACAGGCGCCCGCCACTACACCCGGCTAATTTTTGTCTTTTTAGTAGAGATGGGGTTTCACTATGTTGACCAGGCTGGTCTCAAACACCTGACCTCGTGATCCGCCCACCTTGGCCTCCCAAAGTGCTGGGATTACAGGCATGAGCCACCGTGCCCGGCTTCTGACAGTTTTTATTTACATTTATGTTTGTCTTCGAGTTTAGAACATTAAAACACACACAATTTGTGTTGCTTTCCACAATTTTAAAAGTGGAGACAAGTTGGGCGCAGGGGCACTCTCCTGTAATCCCAGCACTTTGGGAGGCCGAGGCAGGTGGCTCTCTTAAGCCCAGGTGTTCAAGACCGGCCTGGCAACATGGCGAAACGTGGTCGCTACTAAAAATACAAAAAATTAGCTGGGCATGGTGGCGTCCACCTGTAGTCCCAGCTGCTTGAGAGGCTGAGGTGGAAGGGTTGATTGATCCCCGGAGGTCGAGGCTGCAGTGAGCCGTCATCGTGCCACTGAACTCTTCTAGCCTAGGCAACCTAGTAAGACCTTGTCTTAAAAAAAAGATAAAGAAAGTGGAGAAGAAAATAATTTGAGAATTCTCTTTGGTCAGATGAAGTGGCTCACTCCCAGCATTTTGGGAGGCTGAAGTGGGAGGGCTGCTTGACACCAGGAGTTTGAGACCAGCCTGGGTAACATAGTGAGACCTTTTCTCTACAATAATAATGGTAATAATAAAAAAAAGAAAATTAGCCAGGCATGGTAGCACACACCTGTAGTCTTAGCTGCTTGGGAGGCTGAGGTGGGAAGATTGCTGGAGCCCAGGAGTTTGCAGTGAGCCATGATCACTCCACTGCACCCCAGCCTGGGCAACAGAGCGAGACCCTGCCTCTTTAAACACACACACACACACACACACACACACACACACACACACACACAGAGAGAGAGAGAGAGAGAGAGAGAGGGAGAGAAAGAGAGACTTGGGGATTTGGGGATTCTGTATTTTGGTGCAAAATTCGGTGAATAAAGTTTGGATTTAGGGTAACAATGGAAATGAAGTCTTTTCACTGGAGAGAGAGTGTAGGCTGTCCCATTTGAAGGCTGGAACAAATCTTGGGATCCTTCTGCCTGATGTGCAGTCAGTGTTTGCTAGAGTACCTGCCCAGAGCATTTCTCCCGCTGTTAGAGATTGTAGAAAGAGTAAGAGTTTTGGCCAGGCCTGGTGGATCATGCCTGTAATCCCAGCACTTTTGGAGGCCGAGGCGGGTGGATCACTTGAGGTCAGGATTTTGAAACCAGCCTGACCAACATGGTGAAACCCCATCTCTACTAAAAAAAAAAAAAAAAAAAAAAAAAAAAATTAGCCGGATGTAGTGTCTGGTGCCTGTAATCCCAGCTGCTTGGGAGGCAAAGGCAGGAGAATTGCTGGTACCCAGGAGGCAGAGGTTGCAGTGAGCCGAGATGGCGCCATTGCACTCCAGCCTGGGTAACAAGAGCATAACTCTGTCCCCGCGCCCCCCCCCAAAAAAGTAAGAGTTTTAGAATCAGCTGTCACCGAGTTCAATTCCTTGCTGTGACTTGTAACAGCTGGGTGACCTTGGGCAATTTTTATAATCTCTGAGCAAAGGTATCCTGTCTGTAAAGTGAAGTTAATAATTTTTTTTTTTTTGAGACAGAGTCTTGGCCAGGCGTGGTGGCTCATGCCTGTAATCCAAGCATTTTGGAGGCCAAGGCGGGTGGGTAACCTGAGGTCAGGAGTTCAAGACCAGCCTGACCAACATGGTGTAACTCTGTCATAAAAAAAAGAAGAGAAGCTCTTATATATATATATATATATATATATATATATATGAAACAGAGTCTTCCTCTGTTGCCCAGGCTGGAGTACAGTGGCCCAATCTCCGCTGACTGCAACCTCTGCCTCCTGGGTTCAAGCAATTCTCCTGCCTCAGCCTCCCAAGTAGCTGGGATTACAGGTTCCCACCACCAGGCCCAGCTAATTTTTGTACTATTAGTACAGACAGCGTTTCACCATGTTGGCCAGACTAGTCTCAAAGTCGACCTCTTGATCCGCCCACCTTGGCCTCCTAAAGTGCTGGGATTACAGGTGTGAGCCACCACTCTGGCCCAAAGTTAATAATTTCTAAATGCTGGCTTGTAGTGAGGATTGTAGATCATGCATATAAAACTTGGAATTTGCTCAGTAAACATAGGTTGTAGTGTGATCCATTCAACAGCATAGTTTTTCTTCATTTTTATTTTTTATCCTGATGAAAACAATTGTGCTTTTACAATCTCAGAAAAGATAGAACCATTATGTGTTTCACCATCCATAGCTGATTGTGTGCTTCTGACACTACCATCACGTTTTTTATCATTATACTCTTGTTTTTTTGCTTGGGAAGTTGGGATTTTGACCTCTCCCTCATCTTGTTCCACATTTGCCAATTAACTGGCTCTATTAAGATGGAAATCAGTGTGTTTCTTTCAGAGTTCTTAGCACATGTGGAAGCTTAACATGAACTCTTCCTGACCCAGTTTTGATCTTTAATAGGTCAGTGTCATTGGTGTTTTTTCCACGGCCTCCCAGACTTGTCCTCCATGATTCCTGGGGCAGCGGGCTGGGTGGGTGACAGGACTTGAGGAAGGGAAAGAGTGGGATTGAATTAAGAGGAAAAGGCAATAAAATCACCAGCACATACTAATCCAAGAGAGTTCCTTCCCTAGTCCCCTAACCAAAAAGCCAGTAAGGCCATCCAGGAGTATGAATCATACATTTGTAAAAACAAACCACTTTTCTGCTGAAGTAAGGAAGCACAATCCATCCCTAAGTGCAGGGTGTCCTGAATTTATGAGGTGTCAGAGCTCATGTTCTGTCTGATCAGAATTACCTTTAGAAATGACTAATCTGGCCGGGTGCGGTGGCTCAAGCCTGTAATCCCAGCACTGTGGGAGGCTGAGGCAGGTGGATCACGAGGTCAAGAGATCGAGACCATCCTGGTCAACATGGTGAAACCCCGTCTCTACTAAAAATACAAAAAAAATTAGCTGGGCATGGTGGTGCATGCCTGTAATCCCAGCTACTCAGGAGGCTGAGGCAGGAGAATTGCCTGAACCCAGGAGGCGGAGGTTGCGGTGAGCCGAGATCGCGCCATTGCACTCCAGCCTGGGTAACATGAGTGAAACTCCGTCTCAAAAAAAAAAAAAAAAAAGAAATGACTAATCTGAACATATGGCGCTCCATGGTGGCCAGGAAGCTCTAGGCATCAAGTCTGCAGCAGCCTCCAGCTCTGTCCAGCTCTGTCCAGCTCTGAGCTCCCCCATGTGAGGTGGAACACGGCATGAACCTGACAGCCAGGCTCAGACCAGAGTGACATCCCGTTGAATGTCTCCGCTTCAACACTTCATTTCTCATGCTTGGCTTATTCCAGCCAACTTTTGACTTAGCTCCTCACTAGAGATTTTGGCAGTTATTCTGCCTGGACCTAACAGCCAGAGTGAGGAGCAGACCAGCACAAAAGTTCAATGTGAGAGCCTTAGAGCCAGCTTATAGGGCTCCAAGTCCCAGCTCTGGCCCTTATTAGCTTTGTGACCTTCAGGCAAGGAACAACTTCTCTGACTCTGTATTGTCATTGGTAAAAAGGGGATAGTATTAATTCCTACCCCAGGGTTGTTTGGATGGAAAATTTGGAACAGACATGAAAGAGTCTAGCACAGCAACTAGCCCAGCATAGGCAGGTGATCTAAAGCTAACTTTGGCCAACCAAACAAAAAAGGAGTGTGTTAAAAAGGATCAGAAGTTCTCAGATTATTTGGAAAGCTACAAGACTTGAGCCTTGTCTGGACACAGTGGCTCACGCCTGTAGTCTCAGCACTTTGGGAGACTAAGGTGGGAAGATCACTTGAGGTAAGGAGTTGGAGAACAGCCTGGCTAAAACAGTGAAACCCTGTCTCTACTAAGGATATAAAAAATTAG